TTTGAGGGTCAAGTAGATCAGGATCGAGTCAAGAAGAGGAAGGGAGTCTCGTGTGATCTAGACTTATTGAGGATGTTAGGAGAAGGAGATGGTGCAGGAGGTAAAGGATTGGAGCATCTGAGGAAGATAGATTTTGAGGTTCTGAAGGTCTTGATCGAACTCATATAGGGAGCTAGCATCTTGACGGGGTCCACTACCTCAACACGTGCTCCGATGCAAGTGAAGCTGGATCTCCCTCCTGTGGATCTGAAACTAAATTTCTTTGTTGGTCACATCAGATCGAGGTTGCTTTAGTTGGGAAGAGACTGAAGGGATGTCTGATGAGAGTTGAGGCCGAGTCAAAGTGTGATAGTGCCGAGGGAGATGAGTGGAGAGCCACACATGCCTTACTTTACACATGGCTTCTTAACTCGATAGTTCCATTGATCGCCTCATCAGAAGATGGCATTCGAAAAGTAAGGGATGTCTGGGCAAAGCTGAAGTGGATTTATGTTGGGACGGAGAACCACATGAGGGTTTTTTAGATTTAGCGTGAGCTACAAATAATGGTACGTGGTGATATATCGATTCAGGAATACGTCATAGATTTGGAGCGAATTTGGGCAGATCTCATTTCTCGTCGATGTTGAGCTTTAGCGATCTGAAATGTAAGAAAGAGATCTTTACACAGATGAGGAGTATGCAGTTTTTGGTCTATCTGAACGCGACCATTGATCAGAGGAGATCAGTCCTCCTAGCTCAGACGACTATTCCTTCACTAAATGATGCCATTGCTGCAATGATACAAGAGGAGAATAGCATGAAGCTACGCTTTGAGCCGAGTGGACTTCCGGGTGCGCAATCAAGGCTGATTGTCTCGAGCTCAGGTATGATAGTTGTCCAGGAGGAGAGTTGCAAGTGTTATAATTGTGGTGAAGTCGGGCATTTGAGAAAGACCTATCCTAGGCCACTTAAGGAAAAGAGACAAGTGGACGTGCACATGGTGGAGGCCGTGATGGTCAAAATTGTGGAAAATAGGGTTACTGGGCAAATCGATGGTAATAAATGAGGGAGAAACGTGTGATTTTTACCAAAGAGGATTACGAGTGTCTGGAGCTGTTGAAGAGTAAACAAAAATCAACAGGAGATGAGGCTGAGGAAACTTCTAGCCAGTTATCATCAAAGGGTAACATTTCACTTATGCCAACTTTGACAAAGATGCTTGTGATACACATGCTCTTGCATCTATTTCCACCGCAGGATCAACAAAATTGATAGTAGATTATGGTGCATCTTGACATGTGATATATTATACCATAGAGTTTTCTTTCTATACCCATAGTAGTACTAGAGAGCATCTAGATTGTTAATGCTACAAACTCAACCTAAAGTTTTAAGGGTACAGTGAGGGTACCAATTATATGACTTTGACCAATATTTTGCATGTTTATTTTCTAGTAAATCTTTTATCTGTGTCGTTATTTTCCAACTAAAGTATGCTATTTTTTTAATATTCCTAAGGTGATCTTCCTAGAGAAAGGGATGGGTCGGACACTTGAGACTGGAACGTGGCATAGTGGATTTTAATACTTGAACTGGGAGAGGATGAACTCTACTTTGACATCTATGGTAGAGAGTGATGGAGTAGGAGAATCTGGGAGGAGTGTGGAGGATGTATTGCCACTACATCACAGACGCATGAGACTCTTATTTTGGTTTATTGAGCCGGTTGTGTAATTCTTTATATGAAAAGACAAATAAACAAAAGATTGTTTGTGTTGCTTGTGAGTTTGACAAGCTTATTCAAACTCTTATATTAGTTCTGAAAATATGAGTTTTGGTATTTTTGACTCGATTTATTCTGATCTTTGAGGACCTTGTTTACAAGTTCTATGAATGGTTATTGATATTTTGTGACTTATTGATTGTTTTCCTCGTCTATGAATGGTTATTGATATTTTGTGACTTATTGAGTGTTTTCCTCGTGTTACTTAGTTATATTTGATGAAAAATAAGGGTGATATATTTGTTTGCTTCAAACATTTGAACAAGACAATCCAGACTCAATAGGATGCAGTAGTGAAACTATTGAGGTCTGATAATGAGAGTGTACCAACAAAATATTTGGGGAATACTTGTCATCCTAAGGGATATAATATCAAATCACATGTTCATACACACCGACATAAAGTGGAGTGACAGAGAAAAAGAATTAACACCTTCTAGAGGTTGCCCGAAACTTGATGATCGTAATGAATGTCCTAAAGCATTTATGAGGGCAAAAAGTTTGACAGCTGCTCAATTGATTAATAGGATTGACTAATAGGATGTCATCGAGGATGTTTGATTGAAAATCTCATTGTCAAATGTTGAAAGGAGATAATAAAAGGATTCTCCCATTGAAAATGTTTGGATGTGTATGTTTTATGAAGGATAACAAACTATCAATAAGGATGCTGGATCATAGGGCTGTAAAATGTGTGTTCGTAGATTATTTTGTTACCCGAGAATGGTATGTCTGCTGAAGCCCGATAGAGGAGAGACTGTTTGTGAGCATTAATGTGTCATTTAGAGAATTTGAATGGTACGACACCTATGAGTTGCCCTTACCCTTCAGTGACTCATCAGATACTGGATATATGAGGCAATGTAGAGTGAGAAGCAATGATGAGAGAGTGGTACACGTGGGAGCAATTCCTTGTCTTGTGATGTAGGATGAATCAATTTAGGAATTAGAAAATAGGGAGAGTGAACCCAAAGGTGGTGGGATTCAGGCTGAAGGTGAGCTAAAGGGTGTATAAATGGAGAAGGAAGCAAAATAAGAGAATGGTGTATGTAGTCCCACTTTTGTGAGCTAATCTCTTGTCCTGGTCTTCCTTGACTCTTAAGACAACTACAAGATCCACTTTCGACTTAGAACTCGCAGATGGTGTGATTCCTTCTCTTTCTTCTCCTAACCCGACAACTTTAAGAAGATACTCTCGCAGCAATGCACAACATCCTCCCGATTTTTTTTGGGTGGGAACATGACATTGCTAATTTGTTTCATTATTCCAACATATTACCTTTAAATGGAGCATTCATCGTATCTTTGGACACTATCTCTGTACCCAAGTATTTGACAGGTTGTTAAGCAAGATTTCAAGTGGAAAGCAGATATGTGTGAAGAGCCTATAACTCTCGATAAAAATCGAACATGAGAGATAGTGTCACTATCAATTTGGAAAAAGACAGTTTAGTGCAAGTGGAACTTCACGGTGAAACAAACTCTAGAAGGGAAGGTGGAGCGATACAAAACATGACTGGTGGAGAAAGGGTACAATCGGTCATATGACATTGACTATGATGAAATCTTTGGACCAGTAACAAAGATAAGTGCAGTGAAAACATTGGTTTCTCTTACAGTGAATGGTGGGTGGAGGTTACACCTACTCAATGTAATGAATGTATTTCCTTGTGGTGAGTTACTGGAGGAGGTATATATGGAGACACCATCTGGATTCAGTACAATCTAGACAATGGAAAATGTGTGTAGGCTTAGGAAGCCACAGTATGGCTTGAAGCAGTTTCCTTGAGCCTGGTTTGATAAGTTTAGAAAGGCTATGGTAAGCATGGGATATCGACAGATCAATGTAGACTATACGGTGTCCTTTCAACAACTTGAATGTCACACTACTATTGTATGTTGATAACAACATTGTCACCGATGATGACGAGACAAATTACCTAGCTAAAGTTAAGATGGGTCAATGAATTTGAGGTGAAAGATCTTAAATAACTCAAATATTTTCTTGGATTGAAGTGACTTGTGGACTTGAGGGGATGGTTTTGTCCTAGAGAAAATATGTTAGATCTTTTCACAGAAACATGCATGTTAGGGTGCAAAACTACAGTCTTTCAATGGACAAGAAAGCCAAGCTGAGTGCATGGGCAAGAGAACCTGTTGATCGTGAGAGGTACCAAAAATTGGTGAGTTGTCTGATCCATCTGTGTCACACTCGATCCAACATCTCTTTTTCAGTGAGCATGGTGAGCCGCTACATGCACGATCCAAGGAAGAGTCATATGGATGTAGTGTATCAGATTTTGAGGTATCTGAAGAGTGCATCGGGGAAGGGGTTGATCTTCAAGAAGAATGGTCATGTGGTCATTGAGGGCTTTTGTGACGCTAGCCGGGGAAATTGTGCAGATGACAAAAGATCCACCTTAGGATATTGCATGTTCATAGGAGGCAACTTGGTATTTTAGAAGAGTAAGAAACGGTCTGTATTTACGAGGTCAACAACAAAAGTAGAGTACACGCCATCGCATTAGGAGTTGCCGCGATGATGTGGCTGAGAGCCTTGTTGGTGAAGCTTAAGGTGGACTAAGGAACTCAAATGAAGTTGTCGTGCGACAAGAAGTCAACAATTAGCATTCCTAACAACCCAATGCAACACAATAAAACTAAACATGTGGAGACTGATAGATTCTTCATCAAGGAAAAAATTGAATAACGAGCTACTAAAGCTAAGTCATGTAGCCATTGGAGTGTAGTGGCCGACCATCTCACTAACAGATTTAGTTTCATTAGATTTGTTTAGTTTATGTGACAAGATGAGCTTAGTGGATATTTTTTGCCCATCTTTTGGGGCTGTGTTAAGAATTGTAGCTTATTTAGGGTCCTATTGGTAAAAAGAGAATATTGAAAAAGTTTAGGGTTTCTTTGTTAAACGTTGTAATACCCTATCTAAGCCAATGTTATGATGTACGTATTAGGTTTTTAGCAATTCTTTCTTTTCAAGTTTTGTGCAATAATCATGCAAAGTAGGTTTAACATTACATTAATGCTAACTAGAAATAAATGAAGGATGAAGATTCATGCAAAAATAAAATAAAATAAAATAAAAAAATGAGAATAATGATTCATAAAGCCAACCTTAAATGGCAGGGACAAGGTTATTGATGATAATGATGATATTATTGCATATTATTATGTTATCCATATTTCTCAAGGTATAGAGGCTTTGTGTATTCTGTAGCTGCCATTGAGAAGGACTTGTGGACCAGTGGAGGAGCTAACGAGGAATATTTGAAGGCACTAAATGCACTGCTTGGCAATTTTCCTCGCTTACGAGCTACTGAGCCTACGACCCTAAGCATTCCACATCTTGTTACGTCTCTCAAAACTGGCTCCGAGGCAACTCAGGAAGCAGCATTAGATTCACTTTTTCTTCTTAGACAGGCATGGTCAGCCTGCCCAATCGAAGTTTTCAAAGCTCAATCAGTTGCGGCATCGGAGGCTATCCCTATGCTTCAATATTTGATTCAGTCAGGACCACCACGCTTTCAGGAAAAAGCAGAACTTCTTTTGCAGTGCTTACCGGGCACACTTACTGTCACAATTAAGCGCGGGAGCAACTTGAGGCAATCTGTTGGAAATCCTAGTGTATACTGCAAGTTGACTCTCGGGAGCAGTCCACCAAGACAAACCAAGGTAAATTATGATGATGAAACTTCAAGATTTCATGTTTTTAGATTGTCAGCAGAGTTTTTTTTCATCTTTTTTCTTTGTTATTCTATGATAGATCATTAACTCATAGTTTTCCATGATCGCTGTCTTTTCTAGTCTAATATGTTTGTTGTGCATCATTTGGCAAGGGCTGATGGTCCAATTATCAGGATTGCATGTTTTTTTTTTCTCTTCTCCATGTTTTATGGAAATCATGCTAGTCAAATATGTGGGTTTCGCACCTATTCAGGGCAATGCCAATGTCCAACTATTTGGGATCCTTATCACTGCATTTATGAAAGAATATGTTTGTGTTGATATTTTATGATTTGTTCATGCAGGATTTGATAGTCAAATTGATCATCTTTGATTTGAGACCGCCAAAATAATGAGTGTCATTATCTTTATATTATGTTTTTGTCCTTTTTTTTATTTGACAGTCAAATTATATATTTTATGTTTTTGTTATTGTTAATACTTTATTCAAAAAAAAGGATGATCATATTATTACTTATAAGAATGGATATAATAAAACACATATTGATCATTTTCTAATGAGAAGAAGAGATCGTTGAGAATGTAAAGATTGTAAGGTTATTCCAAGTGAGAATTTAATTATTCAATATCGATTATTGGTTCTGAATTTTAAGATGAGAGTTGTAAAATAAAGAATACTATAAATCTTTGTCATAGAATTAGATGGGTGCATCTAAAAGACAAATAAAATTATTTTTACGAGTAAACTTCAAGATTGAAGATTTGGGATCTTCATGAAAAAATAAATTCTATGTGGGATAATAACAAATACTATTAAACAAGTTATATAAGATGTGTTTAGAGAATCAATAAGAAAATTTTTTATAAATAAAATTAGTCGGTGGAAAAAATAAAATATAAGTTGTGTTATAAAAATTGGTTTAAATGTAAAAACTTAGAGAACTAGAAAAAAATATAAAATGATACGTAGGAAGTTTAAGAGAAAAATTTGTGATGCTAAAAATTATGTTTTTTGTGATATTTATAATATATTAGATACTAAAGATGGTGAAAATATATATATAAACTAGTTAAACAATAAAAAAATAAAAATTTAACTCAAGTGTATTAAAGATGAAAAGATCGTCGATAATATAAAAATTGTAAGGTCATTTCAAGTGAGAATTTAAGTATTCAATACCGATTATTGTAAGATGAGTTGTGAAATAAAGATTATTGAGAATCATTGTCATAGAATTAGATGGGGTCAACTAAAAGACACGAATATGATTATCTTTTTATGAGTAAACTTCAAGATTTCAAAATTTGGGATATTCATAAAGAAACGAATTCTATGTGAGATAAAATAACAAATACTTTTAAACAAGTGGTAAAAGATGTGTTTGGAGAATCAATATGAAAAGTTTCTATAAATATAAATAGTAAGTGGTGGAATAATAATGTGCGAGAAAAGATAAAATATAGGAAGTATTATAAAAATTAGTTTAAATGTAAAAGTTTAGATAACTGAAAAAAATATAAAATGACTCGTAGAGAGTCTAAGAGAATAATTTGTGATGCTAAAAATACTACTTTTAATGTTTTTTATAGTAGATTAGATACAAAACATGGTGAAAAATATATGTATAAACTAGTCAAATAAAGAGAAAAAAATAAAGATTTTACTCAAGTAAAGCATATTAAAGATAAAAATCAAAGTGTTTTTTTAAAAAGGGATATTCAATATAGGTGAGTGAGTTATTTTGATAAATTTTCAATGAAGTTTTGAAAATAAAATTAATTTTAGTGATTTTAATATCGTTAATAGTAATAAAATATTTCATTTCTACTGTCGCATTAGTAAAAAAGAAGTTGATGAGGCTTTAAAGAAAACAAGGATGAAAAATCTATAGACCCGATCATATCCTAATTAAAGTGTTGAAATATTTAAAAGAATTGAGAGTTTTTTTTTTTCTTACTAAACTCTTTAATATTATTTGAAAAATTAAAGAATGCCTTAGGAGTGGAGGAAGAGTGTTTTGGTTCCAATTTTTAAGAATAAAGGGGATGCACAAGAGTGTGCAAATTATAGAGGAATTAATTTAAAACTATGAGAGGGGATAATTGAACATAGGTTAAGACGCATTAGAAAGATTTCTCATAATCAGTTTGGATTTATGTCGGGCAGGTCTACTATGGATGCTATGCATTTATTGAGAGGTTTGATGGAGAAGTACAGAGAGGATAAGAGGATCTACATGTGATTTTTATTGATTTAAAAAAACTTAAGATAAGGTTCCAAGAGAAATCTTTTTGAGAATTCTAGAGAAAGATGTTGATTTAACCTATATTCAAGACATTAAAGATATGTATACTAGAGCTGTGTTCGAACAGGAGGATTGGCCAAATATTTTCTTATTTTAGTTGAATTACATAAGAGATCGGCTTTAAGCCCATATCTTTTTGCTTTAGTTATGCATGCTCTTACTGGACATTTTTTCAGGAGATATATCTTAGTGTTTGTTTTTCGCTAATGATATCCTTCTTTTGGATAAGGCTAGAGAAAGTGTTCGGGATATGCATGGAGTCTAAAGGTTTTCATTTGAGTAGAACTAAAACTGAATACATGCATGGCAATTTTAGTAATAGTAGCTCTAGTGGCAGAATTGTAACTATAGGTGATCAAATCATTAAAAGGTGTGAACGCTTTAGATATCTCAGTTTTTTTGTTCATAGTGATTGTGATATAGATGGTGATGTTATTAGTAGAATTCAAGATGGTTGGTTGAAGTAGAGGAATGCATGGAGTCTATTGTGTGATAGAAAAGTGCCCCTTAGACTGAAAGGAAAATTTTATAAGATCGTGGTGAAACTTGCAATGCTCTATGATGCAGAATGTTGGCCTTTAAAAGAGAATCATAAAACCAAGTGTTGTCGAGATGAGAATGATTAGGTGGATGAGTGGCTTTACACTTTGAGACAGAATGCAAAATGAATATATCCGTGATAGGGTTGGTGTAACTCTAGTGGTGGACAAATTTAGAGGGAATCGTCTTAGATTATATGAAGAAATACGTTCTTGAACTGTCTATATTTTTAACTAATTATTCTAGCACGACGTCATTTCCTTGTAGTTTTTTTCCTTTCTATAGACCAATATTTCTACAAAACTTGATGTAGTTGTTTATTTTTTATTTTTTGTGACTTCTTACAAACAAAAAATGGAAAGATGCTGCATATTCCCTTGCTAATTATAGTAGCTGTTCAGATTGATGATTCATACTTTGCTTTCTCTGTAATTTCTTAAAACCTGTTAAATGGGCAAGAATTACTTTTCAGTGACTTCTATCAGTTAATTGTTGTCTCCTTCTGTACTTAGGAATTGAAAAAAAGATCAAAATGGTCCCTCAAATTTTTATGAGGGCCTATTTTAATCCCAAACTATAGAAAAGGTTTGATTGCAGTTCTTGAATTTTTAAAATTGGAGTTAAAATGGAATTGGAGTTAAAATGGTCCTGCCATTAAAAGTAACAGAAATTGAAGTCAAAGTTAAAGGAGTATTAAAAATGAAGGTATTTTAAGAATTTACATCTTGAAATTTTTACCACATTTAATAAATGATATTTTTTAAAAAAATTGGGATTTATAGAACATTTATCAATAATAATTGCTAAAATTTATAAATTTAACCATCTGAAAATAAGATTAAAAATATGGAAAATGTTACCAATAAGTCCCATCTCAAAAAAGCTAAGTAGACAAACTGGATTTTGTAAAAATATCAATATGTGAATTCTTAAAATAACTTTATTTTTAACACCATCGGATAATGTAACTGTAACTTTTGTTACTTTTAACAAAGTTATCTTTTGTCATATTTCAATACTAGGTGGACCAAGTGAGTCAAATTATATATAATCTGGGACTTAAATAACCCCACATAAATAGTAAACCTTTTTAATCCTTTCTTCTCTCAGAATTCCATATGCTTCTTATGGAATTCCATAAGGGGTAATGAAAAGCAGTAAATTAACTTCGATTGGTTATTAGAAATTAGAGAAATTGTGGTGTGCTCTTTATTAGCTAAATGTGTGTTGGCCAAATTATAATAATTTGTATGCATAATCTTCAGATTGTATCCACCGGCCCTACACCAGAATGGGATGACGCCTTTGCCTGGGCCTTCGACACTCCGCCAAAAGGACAAAAACTCCACATATCGTGCAAGAACAAAAGCAAAATTGGAAAGGTAATGCTCACAAAGTTCTGCATTTGACAGTTTCTTTTTGGATCATTTACATACATACAGCATAATTCTTATGTATTTACATATCTCACACCTAAACTTTCATATTCACACACACAGCACTTGAATCCTTAATATCACATCAAAAATGGCACTATTATCACTTTTTAAAAGTCAAAAACATTTTTTTTATGCAGAGGTTTAAAATACCAAAGTGCTATTTGTGTAAATATGAAAGTTTATGTAAATACATAAGAATTGTGTGCTAGGTATGTAAATTCCCTTTCTTTTTTTCTGTTATTTGAATTGAGTTTGAAGTTTGATCTGAATTACAGAGCTCCTTCGGCAAAGTTACAATACAGATCGATCGGGTGGTCATGATGGGATCTGTAGCAGGCGATTATACATTGCTTCCTGTAAGCAAGAGTGGACCTCCTCGAACCATAGAAATCGAGTTCCAGTGGTCAAACAAATAGCACCTTTGTTGTGATTCACAGGCTTTCCCCTTGTAATTTTTTTTGCAGGACAACTCAATAATCTTTGATTGCTGCATGTGAAGTAAGTCCTTAATAGTTATGATGTCTTACTGTACATAGTTGAGAATTCTGGTGTCATTTCTTGTTTAGGAGGATTGCTTCTGGGAAATGTTTGTAATGTTTGATATGAATTATTATTTATTCTATTTTTTGTGTCATTTCAAGCCTTATCCAGTTTTGAATGATATAAGTTTGTATTTTTTCGTGCTCTTTTATTTTATTCTATTTTAAAATATGTAGGAAATTGCATCAACTGCATTTATCATGATTAATGCATAGGATCCAAATCTAGCTCAACCATGGCTTGTCAATATTTTGAAAAAAATGGTTGAATGTCTTTTCCTTTGCTTTCATTCCAATAAATGATAGTTTGTACAATCTATTTTAGGTACATAATATTCAAGATAATCTAAATTAAGTAACTTAATTAATACATATTCCAAATTTAATTATTCAGCTAAAAAGAAAGAATCCGCGCAAATATAATATTTCTTTCTTTGCAACATTGCGAATAAGGAAACTCTTTATTCTGTCTGATTTCATTTATTTCTGATTGATATCCTCCCTCAAATTGATGCTGGTTGATCAAAAAGAATCAATTTGCTGACAAGAAACTGATGACGCTGTCGAGAAAGAGTCTTAGTAAATATATCAGTCCTTTGAAGATCAGAAGTGATATGAGGAAGAGATATAACACCCTCCTCATAGGCTTCTCGAATGGAATGACAGTCCACTTCAATGTGTTTTGTGCGCTCATGAAAGACAGGATTAGCAACAATCTGGATAGCACTAGTATTATCTGCATGAAGAGAAGTAGACTCGAGCTGAGGCAAACCAAGCTCAGCCAGCACACCCCGAAGCCAAATGATCTCAAAACAAGCAGGGGACATAGCGCGATATTCTGATTCAGTAGGTGACTTAGACACTCGATCTTGTTTTTTGCTCTTCCAAAAGATTAAAGAGTTGCCCAGAAACATGCACCATCCAGTAATAGACCAGTAATAGATCGGCGTGTATCGGCGTGTATCAGAACAACCAGCACAATCAACATCACTATAGGCTGTTAAGGTGATAGGAGACTCCGCAGAACAAAAAAATTACTATCAGAACGACCATCTTGAAGACCAGTCAAAGCAATGAGTCCCTTCGTATAGTTGTGCTGTGAAAAAAAATACCATCGGCGGAAGAGGGAACATCGAGTCCTAAGAAATAAGTTAATGGCCCTAAATCTTTCATATGAAAAGAACCCACCCTGAAGACGTTTCTGTAGCTGAGACATCAATTGATTTTCAGATTCTGTGATGACAATATCTTCAACCAAGCCTCTCACGTTCATTTAGATCAATGATTTGAATTTTATTTATCTTGTTTTTCTCTTATTTTAGTTGATTTCGATCGACGATCAATCTATTTAGAATGTCTTTTGAAATCTTAGCTATCAGATTTACGGGAAAGAATTATGCTGCATGAGAATTTCAACTCAGAATATTCTTAAAAAGGAAGGAGCTTTGGGGCTATATTGATGGGTCTTTCCCAGCTCCTACTGAGGCAAAAGATCTTGGTCAATGGGAAGCAAAGGATGCTCGGATTGTTTCCTGGATTTTGGGATCTATTTAGGCTCATATGGTCTGAGGTTCATATGGTGAACAATTTACGATCCTTTGACACAACTAAAGAAATGTGAGAATACTTGAAGCGTGTTTATAATCAAGATAATTCTGCGAAATGCTTTCAATTTGAAATTGACATGAATAATTATGGTCAGGGTAATCTTTCAATTTAACAATATTATTCTGACTTTCTAAATTTATATAGCGAATATACCGGTATTATCTATGTTAAGGTGTCAAAGGAGAACTTAACTAGTCTTCAAGCCATTCATGAAGATAGTCGTCGTGATCAGTTTTTAATGAAACTGAGACCTGAATTTGAAACTGTTCGAGCTGGGTTGCTAAACAGAGATTGGTTCCGTGTTTGGATGTTTGTTTTGGGCAATTACTGTGCGAAGAACAAAGATTGGCGACACAAGCTACAATCGGTACAACAGGTGAATCATCAGAAATAATTAATATGACATATGCTGCTAAGACTAAAGGGAAGGGGCCAGTGCAGTGCTACAGCTGCAAGAAATTTGGTCATATTGCATGGAATTGTGAAAATAAGACATGTACTTATTGCAAGCAAATGAGACATACTCTTTCGGAGTTCCCAACACGACCCCAAAATCGCAAACCAAAAGCACTTCATGCCACGGTACCTGACACTCATAATCCTGCCTCGACTTCCACAGTTACTGACAATAATCAATCACCTGTCACACCCTATAGGGTTTAACAGATGATTCTATCTGTCTTTTCTGCTCTCGGCTTTCAAGGGAGAGGTAAAACTATTTCTTCGGTTACTTCTCCTTGCTTTGTTGATTCAGGCGCCACAAATCATATGATTAGTATAGCTATAGCTGAGTTATTGCATAACCAACGACCGTACACTGGTACTCAACATATTCAGGTTGCTAATGGAAATAATATTTCAATTACGACAATTTGTGATATTAACTCATCTTTCAAACATGTCTTGGTTTCTTCTAAATTATCTATTAACTTACTCTTTGTTGGTCAAATTGTGGATAATAACTATGAAGTACATTTTTCTCGTGATGGTTGTATTGTGCAGGATTAGGTGCCGGGGAAGGTAATAGCGAGAGGGCCTAAAGTTGGCAGACTGTTTCCATTACAATTCTCTGTTCCTTAGAGCCAACGACTGCAGATGAAGTGAATGTTTCAGAGATCGAGAAATTTGTTGATACAGATTTTTGTTACTGGAGGATGCAGATAGATGACTAGTTCTGGGGAAAAGACCTGAAATGATGAATGAAGATCGAAAAGCGAGGCAAAGCTTGAAGCAGTCGCGATCGTGATGATCGAACCGATTGGATCTCTGCAGAACTCAGAGAAAACGAGTGAATCGCGACAGAACTCAAATAGAGCTAACGAAAATGCCGCAGAACTCAAATGGAGCGATCGTAGTGGTAGAACTTAGTGGCACAACTCAAGAAGATGTCGCAGAACTCAAATAGAACGGCAGAACTCAACAACAGAACTCAAGAAGATGTCGCTTCTTAATGCCGCACCAGGGTCCGCTCAAGAAGATGCCACAGAACGCAGCAGCAGAACTATGAAGATGCCGCACCAGAGGTCCGATCAAAGGGAGTCGATCGGCTTGAAGCAGCGGCAGAACTCAAACAAAGCGGACGAAGATGCCGCAGAACACAAAGACAAGAACGAGCGCTTCGGCGAGGAAGCAGTCGAAGATGTTAGCCAAAGATAACAAAAGCTAAAATTTCAAGGATTCAGACCGATTAAAGCTCTAATACCATGTCAATATTTTGAGCAAATAGGCTGAATATCCTTTTCTTTTCCTTTGGTTTCATTCCAATAAATAATAGTTTGTACAATTTATTTTAGGTACATAATATTTAGTATAATCTAAATTAAGTATCTTAATTAATACATATTCCTAATCTAATATTTAGCTAAAAGGAAAGAATCCGCAAAGGAAAGAATCCGCAGGAAAGAATCCGCGCAAATATAATATTTCCTTATTTGCAGCATTGCGAAGAAGGAAACTCTTTATCTGTCTGATTTCATTTATTTCTGATTGATATGGCTGAGCTAATCGAATATGTTTCAATATTTATGAGTATAAATGTCTTTTTCATTGCATGAGTATATATTTTCAGGATAAATTGAGAGTTGCATATCTTTCAAAGGTGGGTGATGTTAAGCCCATCGCCTACTTATTTATAGAACTCTTATATATTTAATTTTGGGCATTTACATACATTACTCCCAACCCCCCAAAAGATTGGTTTTTTTTTTTTTTTTTTTTTTTTTACTTTTACACCACCAAAATCTTTCATTTCATATAAAAACTATCGTTAATTTAATTTTTAAAAAGTGAAATGCATCTTGTCATACAAAGGCAAGGAGGTATTCACATAAAAATTAAAATTTTGGAGTTATGTAAATACATAAGAATTGAGTGTTTTGTATGTAAATCTTCCACTTAATTTTTATCTGCTGAAAACTGAAGTGCAGTTCTCTCTTTTGGCTTGACCTTTTTTTTTTATATTACACACACAACCAAGTTATTTGACAATTGGGTATAAATATTTAAGTGAAAATTTCAGCAACGTTTTCTTGCTCCATTGGTATAACTTTCTTTGGTAAAATGAAGATTGCAAGCTATTATATTTTCTTATAATTGGTGAGTGCGTTCATGTAAGGTGGTGGCTTATGAAACTGGAAACGGTGCTATTAAATCATGTGTAAAGTTTGTTGCTCCAGCGGCGCCTAGATATTCTTCCAGCATTTTGGTGGCCTTGTAGAGATTTAATTTCTGCATGATTGAGCAAAATGATGAGCTTTTTGTATATCTTAAAGTGCATTTTAGCTTTTATTGATGATACTTTGTAGTTATAAAGAATGAGTGTTTTATTCATGCTTTACTATGATTAAAATCTGAATGGATAATATTGCACTTGGGAGCCTTGGTTGGCAACTTCCATGCCACATTGTCCCACGTGAATGGACATGGTCTAGTAGTGATTGACATCATCTGCTCTAATTGTTCAAGCTCATTTTTAATATGATTTTTACAATCCTATTATTGATGCCTTTGATGCAATAAGCCAGACCTTATGATGGCATTTTTAATATCATCTTCAGCTTATTTTGATATCCAGTTTTATTTTATTTTTTTTGAAAAAAAAAATCAGTCAAATTATTTTGAATAATATGGGGATTCATGTGTTGTGCTGAATTTGGGCCCAATTAAATGATATTCTTATGATCCCAATAAATCTCTTAGTCTTGATTTTCCTAATTTGCATGATATAAAGATAATTCATCTTGGGAATACTTGCTCTACAGAAGTATGATTAGAGGAAAATTTCTAGTGATGTTTACTTCTTAAATGCCAATATAAACCTCTCTTTTGGGTCTCTACACTTGTATAGAAATATCATATGCACGTTACCTTTAAGAGTAATGGGGAGCACTTGAAAAAAAAAAAGATTCAAAGGCAAAGTTGATGTTCATGAAAGTTCTATAGTATTCAACAGTGAATCTCAAATTTTGTCTGCATCTTTTTA